TTTTATTTATATTTTAAATAAGCTTTTTTTCAGCTAATACATGAAAATTTAAAATTTATATATATATTAACAGGGGAGTATGATGGGTTTATGTTAGTGGATACTCATTGTACACAGTGTTGGATTTCACAAAGATAATTTCTTTAAAGCAAATCACGTATTTTGACTATATAATTTCTCCATGCCCTCCCCCTCCTCTTTGTCCCCTCCCTCCAGTCTTGACTATTTTGGGAAGTGAATACACCCCTATAAATCCATATATAAATATAGATTTATTAACTATCAAAAATCTAGGTTCTGAAAATTAGAGAAACTTGCAATAGTTGTCTTTCTGAGTCTGGCTTATTTTGCTTAATATTATGGTCTCCAGTTGTACACATTTCCCAGTAAACATCATAGTTTCATTCTTAATTATTGCTGAATAAAACTCCACTGTATATATATGTCACATTCTCTTTATCCATTCATCTGTTGGCAAACACCTAGGCTGACTCCTTAACGTGGCTGTTAGGAAGAGTGCTGCAATAAACACGGCCATGCAAGTACCTGTTTGGTATGTTGACTCACAGTCCTTTGGGTATGTACCCAGAGGTGGTAATTCTACCTTTAGTTTTTTGAGGCAGCTTCATACTGATTTCTATAATGAGTGGATTAATTCAATTTCCACCAGCAGTGTAGAATATTCCTTTTCACCATAGCCTCATCAGAATTTGCTATCATTTGTTTTTCTTTTTTTATAGGCTCTCACTATGCAGCCCTGACCCCTGGTTGGTCTGGAACTCACTGTGCAGACAAGGCTGGCCTTGAAATCAGAGTGATCTGCCTGTCTCTGTCTTTTGAGTGCTGAGTAAAGGCCATGAACCACCATACCCAGCTGTCATTCATTTTCTTAATGACAACCATTCTGTCTGGGGTGAGATGGAATTTCAATATTATTTTAATTTGTATTTTCCTGGTGGCTAAGTATGTTGAGCATCTTTTCCTATGCTTATTGGTCATTTGTACTTTATCTTTTGAAAACTTTTCATTTTGTTATCCCATTTATTTATTGGGCTGCTTGTGGATGTTTGGAGGAGTGGCATTTTGTTTTCTGGATGTTATCCTCTAGGTCATCCTGCAGACTGTCTCCCCTTACAGTAGCTGTTTCCTCTGTCCTGCTGGATCTCTGTGATTTCATGCAATTCCATTTGTGATTTCATGCAATTCCATCTGTGATTTCATGCAATTCCATCTATGAGTCAGTCCTTGGTGGCATTTCCTAAGCTATTAGGATCTTTATCAGAAAGCCCTTGTTTGTGCCTAGATCTTTTAGTATCTTTCCTAGATTTGCCTCTAATAGTTTCAGCCTTTCAGGTCTTTGATCCACTTTAAGTGGATTTTTGTACAAACTGAAAGATACGAATCTAGTTTTATTCCTCTACATGTGGAACCCACTCTCCTCAGCACCACTTGTTAGAGAAGCTGCCTTTTCTCCAAGGTATGTTTTTGGCATCTTTGTAAAAAATCCAGTAAAGGTAACTATGTTGGTTTAATTTGGGTCTTCTACTGATCTGTAAGTCTGGTTTACTCTAATATCATGCTGGTTTTGTTACCATGGCTTTACAGTGTAATTTGAAATCAATATTGTGATACATCCAGCATTTTTCTTTGGGTTCGTGGCTGCTTTGGCTACCCAGAGTCTTCTGGTTGTCCATGTGAATTTGGGGTTTGTTTTTTTTCCTATTTCTGTGAAGAATATCATTGCTATATTTGTGGAGATTACATTAAATCTGTAGGCTATCTTTCATAATATAGCCATTTTCACCATATTAATTCTCCCAATCCAAGAGCACAGCATGGTTTTTGGATGCTGAGTAGTGTTTAAATCAGTTTAGACATGTTCACAAGTACTTGTCAGTTCTTTAGGGTGCATTTGTCAAGGTCCTTCTTTTTAAATTTTGGAAATATATATAAATCACTACTATTATAATTACCCTATTGCACATTGGAACACCCAAACTGGGGCTGGAGAGATGGTTCAGAAGTTTAGAGAATTTCTTGGTCATCCAAGGACCATGAGTTCTAGTCCCAGCACCCATGTAAGGCAGCTCACAACTGCCTGTAACTCCAGCCTCTGGAGATCCAACACCCTCTTCTCTTCTGGCCTCCTAGGGCTACTGTACACATGGCATAATTACAGACACACAAAAATAATTTTAAATTTTTTTTTAATTTTTAGACCACCAGAGCTGGTTTCTAGACCTGTGAACAATACATTCCATTCTTCCAAGCCCCAGCTTGTTTCTCTACAAAACTCAGGCATCATCTCTGTCAACAGTATACACAGCTTTGTCATGGTCCACAGGGAAGGAAGTGTCCACAAGGAACAAAGTGTTATTTCTGTCCATTCTTCCCAAATTCTCTCCCATCACTTTTGGACAGAGCCCAGTTTCTCCAGAGTCCCCCTGCTTCTTAAGTAAAAGTTGAGTTTCCGACCAAATTTTTGTCCCAAGCCACAGCCTCTAGTCCAGTCACTATCCTAGTCAAAAAGTACAAAAAAGTCTTATAAATGGGTTCCTCATGTCTGAGTTGTGTGTCTTGGGCTCATAGGAGCTGTTGTTCATCTCCTTCAAGCACTGGGCTAAGAAGACAATTGCTGCTGAGTGACAAATTTCAATCCTAGCTTGATGGAGCTGTCCTTCAGCGACAGAGCCATTGCAACACCACACATTCAGCCACACGCAGAGATGGGTTTCCAAATCCCACTCTGTTTCTGTGATATCCCAAGAGCTCCTCATTTATCATGGATACTGTAATTTGTCCAAAAATTCCTCACAATAACATTTTAAAAATAGCTTTGACTTATCTATGAGAGCAAAATATTAAAATTTCTTCACAACTCCCCCCAAATGGAAGTAGACACACTAAGTAGGGCCCCACATAAGTTCTACACCTATAAGCACCTATGAGGCCCTAGATTAGATACCATGTAGATAATTAGAAACAGAATCCAGTGAATGTTGATTAACTGTGTGTTTATTGAGTCACTATGTGCCCAGCACTGTGCCAGATTATAGAAAATATCAAAGAGAAAGAAAGGCCTGAGTTTAAGGCATTACAATGCAGGCAGAAACTGGAAGCATTCAGAAGTCATCAGAGACCAATACAGATAACTACCAAACAGTTTTCAGTATTATTAAATTATGTGACTCCTGTATCTCAGAGAAGTCTATAAGAGAGATAGAGCTGGAAGGGAGCTTTGGGGAATCCATAGATACTAAAAAGGAAATGCTCAAGTCTATGGTAGCATAGGAAGTATTTATCTATGAGGGTAATTTTCTGAAACAGCCATTTGTATCCCTGGAACTATTCTAAAATTCTAGAATCACAGAAAACAGAGCCCACGGTCTTCTGGGGGGAAAGGCAGAGGTAGCGTTGAGAATGGGTCTCCTTATAGCCACTGGAACTATGTAGACCAGGCTGGCCTTGATCTCACAGAGATCTGCCTGCCTTTCCTGAGTGCTAGGATTTGTGTGTCCTCTGGGTACTTTCACTAATAGGCACCAACCTACAGTTGTGATCATTTGAATTCACCCCCTAATTTCCAGTTCTCTGTTGTTTTGTAGCTATCATAGTTTGGGAATAAAATTGGCCCTATATGTTATATAGTTTAAAAAATATACTTAT